CTCTCTCTCTCTCTGTGACTATCATAAATAAATTTTTTTAAAAAATTATAAAAAAATTTTTTTAATTAAAAAAAAAAAAGAAAAGAAAAATCCCAAGCTGACCACTACCACCACCCTACTCCAAGCCACCACTGTCTCTTGCCTGGATTGCAAAACCCTTGTGACTATTTCACCTGCTGTGGGTCTGCTCATCCCTTACTGTCTTTCCTCCCTCCTTTCCTTCTTGCCTCTCCCTCCCTCAGGGCCAGAACCTGAAATCAAATCAGGTTGATCTGGTCAAGAAACTGCAGTGAGTCCCATCTCACTCAGAAAAGCAGCCAGATCCTTTCTGGAGTGCAGGTGCATCTCCACGGCTCTCCCCACCTCCCTCTGCTCTGGCCCCAGCCGGCTGCCTAGTGCGCCCTCCAGCACACCACTCTCCTCCTACCTTGCTCTGGCCGGGCCCTCTGCCTGCAGTGTTCTTTCCCTGCGTGGTTACTTGACCAGATCCCTCTCCTTCTCAACATCCTCATTTAAAGATCTTGTCTTGGGACGCCTGGGTGGCTCAGCGGTTGAGCATATGCCTTTGGCTCAGGGCATGATCCCGGAGTCCTGGGATTGAGTCCCAAGTCGAGCTCTCTGCATGGAGCCTGCTTCTCCCTCTGCTTGTGTCTCTGCCTCTCTCTGTGTGTCTCATGAATAAATAAATAAAATCTTAAAAAAAATAAAGATCTTGTCTCAGTGAAGCCTCCTTGGGCACCTATTCATAGGCAGCCTGGCCTATCATCACTGGCACCCCACTTCACCTGCTCTGTGTGTGTCCAGAGCCCCATGTCATGGACTCATTTATAGCTTATTGCTTATCACCTGTCTCCACCAGGCCGACTGTCAGCTCCATCAGGACAGAACTCGGTCAGGTTTTCTTCTTTTAAAAAATATTTTATTTATTTATTCATGGAGACAGAGAGAGGCAGAGGGAGAAGTAGTCTCCCTACAGAGAGCCTGATGTGGGACTCGATCCCAGGACCCCAGGATCATGACCTGAGCCAAAGGCAGATGCTCAACCACTGAGCCACCCAGGTGCCCCTCGGTCAGGTTTTCATTCATTTGTTGTCCTGTTTTGCCAACTGTCTAGAACAGTGACCAGAACATAGTAGGGGCTTAATAAATATTTGTGAGAATGAATGAATCACCCCTATTGGTTTCTTATAAAGCACTCTCCCCTCCAGAAAAGATGTATTTAATTTGCTGGGCTAATATCTTACTTTCCCCTACAAGCTTCTAAGACGCAGGAAGTTGAAACTGTCCATCTTTGTCACTGGTCTTTGCCATTTTAAAAATTTGATTTCAATACAGCTAGAGAAAGGGATCATGGAGCAGGACTCTGGATTCTTGGGGATTGGTCCTCTACCACCACCACTCCTTCCCCACGACACCAGGGTGGGGATGGGGTGCGGTTGTTACTTACCGGTGGAGGATGAGCAGCAGATACAGGAGGCCAATGACAAAGACGGAGCACAGATAGGTGACTGCCAGGTGTGCGCGGGGTGGGTAGAACCCATAGAAGAGGGGAGACCATTCTAGAAAACCCTGCAGAGGAAAAGTTCACCGTGGGCTTAGGCAATCAGAATTGGGGGGTACTGAGGCTCGGTGGGGGGGGGCCTCCCAGGGCTCCAGGGACGCACCTCTCCTGACAGCAAGTTGAGGAGATGGGTGGGGAAGGTGACTAGGCCTTGGGGGCTGGGGTTGTAGAAGCCACAGGGCGAGGAGGTGTCAGAGCCAGGGGGACCCGGGAGGGTCCCTTCCAGCCAGGTGGGCAGCAGTGTCATACAGGCCTTAATTACAGACGCCAGCACGTTGAGAAGCAGCAGGAAACGCAGCAAGGAGAAGTAGGACTCGGTGCCGGCACCAAACTGGCCTACGGGGGGTGCAGAGAGGCCTGGGGCTCCTTTCCAGGTCCAGAGTCAGGGCCCTGACATACAGTCCCTCAGACCTGGGAGTCCTGATTCCCCAGCCCCTCCTCCCTCAGACCCAGGAATGGGGCCAGCCTCAACCCCACCACACCCCCAATTCTCTTCAGTGTCCACGCCCAGGGTTGCAAGGTGTGCAGGCCTTCCTTCATCTTCTCCTTCAACCTCCGGAACTTCAGGGCGCAATTTGAGGCTCTGGAACCTGATCCCTGAGCCACTTGGTCCCTGGCATGGCTCTTCCTGGTAGGGAAACATTCAGAGACAGAATAGGAAGGACCTGGCAGCTCCCAATGGACACCCCCAAGTGGAGAAACAACACAACAGCAGGAGCGGGAAGTAAATTGTAATATATCGATAACTCGGAATCCTCTACAGCCATAGGAAGAGACACAGCTAATGCACAGAAGGCCAGGCAGGCTGTAGGTACCGCAGGAGCTCTGGAGCAAGCACACACACTGTGCTCTTCAGGGATGAACTTGCAGGTGGCCAAGCTGGACAGGAGAATGAGGAACAGATCAGAGAAGCCTGGGAAGGATAGGATGCCTAGGTGGCTCAGCGGCTGAGCATCTGCCTTTGGCCCAGGGCGTGATCCTGGGATCCAGGATCAAGTCCCACATCAGGGTCCCAGCAGGGTTAGTTCTCCCTCGGCCTGTGTCTCTGCCTTTCTCTCTGTGTCTCTCATGAATAAATAAATAAAATATTTTTTTAAAAGTCTGGGAAGGGATGTTGTGGGGAGGTGGGGGTGACTTGGGGCCCATGGGCAGCTTCTGGGAGCTGTGGAGCTGTGTCTCCTGCCCTGCGTGGAGTTTCCGTGGGTTCCCGTTATGGGAATACTCTGTGTATACACAATGTTTCATGCACTTTTCTGTAGGCAAATATCAAAACCTAAAAGGAAAAAAGGAAAAAAAAAAAAAGGAAGGTGTGATCCTGTGATTTATAATAAGAAATATATATCTGAAAAAAATATATATATCTGGGTTTTGTCCCCCATTCCTGGCACAGAGCTTTAAAAATCTTTGGAATACCCTGAGTAATGAGACTAAGAGTGGGGGCCTCGTTGCGGGGGGGAGCCAGCCCTGAGACTGGAGGGAGAGAGAGGGGCTGCAGGCTGAGTTCCATGGCCAATGCCCACAGATTTAACCAAGCACACCTATGCAACAAAACCACCATAAAAACCCAAAACGAGGGAGGCCTGGGTGTCTCAGTGGTTGAGCGTCTGCCTTTGGCTCAGGTCGTGGTCCCATGGTCCTGGGATCGAGTCCCGCATTAGGTTCCCCGCAGGGAGCCTGCGTCTCCCTCTGTGTCTCTGCCTCTCTCTCTGTGTCTCTCATGAATAAATACATTAAAAAAATAAAGAATAAAAACAAAATGATGGGGTTTGGAGAACAATTTCAAGACACACGGCCCCATTCTCAGAAGGGCCTCGTGTTTGCTTCTTTTGTCCTGCTGTTCCTGGGTGGTAATGCACAACACAGGCATCCCACACTTTCCCAAAGTTCCAGGGCCAGGCCTTTGTTTTTAGGAAAGACCTGTGTTACCCTTTGCTTGACGCCCCAAGCAGGTTTATGAAAGGTTTCATAGCAACGCTGTCCTTTGGATAGCGGGGAAACCTGTCAGTCTTGCCGGAGCTGTCCAGAATGTTCGTTGTTCAGCAGCCGTGCACATCGTGTAGCCCGGGAAGGGAAAGAAGGAAGAGGGACAAACTTCGGAAAACAGAAGGCCACAACAAAACACTACACAGATTCCAGGCACAGGGAGAAGGAGCCAGAGCAGAGAGCCAGCACACGAACCCAGGCGACAGGAGAGTTCTGGAGCCAGGAGCCAGGAGCCAGGGAGGCAGGAGGCCTGGGAGTCAGAGAAGCAGAGACACAGGCACAGGGAAAGAAGGCAAGAGAAGCAGGGAGAGGCTGAGGGAGGAGGAGAGGACACACGCTGGCAAGCCGGAGCGGAGCCTCACCTGTGTGTCCGGCGGGCCTGCATGGGCCATGGCAGCTCCCGGGAGGCGATGGGCTCCTCCAGCTCCTGCTGGGCGGCTTCTGCCATGGTCTGGAGTCTCCTCTCTCCATCTCCTTCCTCTTCCTCCGATGCCCCCCACGGAAGAACCCCAGGGCCTCGGTACCGAAGGGTTGCAGCACTGGGGAGCTCATTCAGCACAGAGGAGAGCGATGGGCCTGGGGTGGAAGAGAAGGGGCTGGGAGGGCGCGGGAGCCCCAGCCTCCTCCCTCAGACCCAGGAGCCCAGGCCCCTGCTCCTCCTCCCTCAGACCAGGAGTCCAGGCCCCTGCTCCTCCTCCCTCAGACCCAGGAGTCCAGGTCCCCAGTCCCTCCTCCTTCAGACCCAGGAATCCAGGTCCCCAGTCCCTCCTCCTTCAGACCCAGGAGTCCAGGCCCCGTGTCCCCTCTGTAAGCACTGAAATGTGGACTCCCTAGACCCCTCCTTCCTCAGGGCTGAGGAACTCAGTCTTCAATTTCCTTTTTCCTCTTGCTCAGGAGTTTGCAACCCTGCCCCCCCTCTTCCCCCCTCTACTGCTCCTCAGGACACAGGAGTCCTAGCTCCTGGTTCCCTTCTCCCTCAGACAACCAGGAATTTAACCCTCCCCCTTCTGCCCTCTGGACCCTGGAGTTTCAGCCTCCGTTCCCTGCCTCCCTCAGGACTTCCACCAGCCGAAGGGGCTGGACCCCCTCCCACTCCCCCACCTGCTCTGGCCTCCCGGGGTGCCAGCCACCCTCCAGGGGAGCCCCAGGCCTCCGGTTCCCATGTCGGGCGCTCTTCCATGGCCGCAGGTGAAACTGTTTCCGTCTCCAGCGGCCAGCTGGGCGCGGTCAGCCACAGGTAAGGAAGGGACATTGGCAGGTCCATACCTGGCCACCAGGTGGCTCAGGGAGGGGAATCCGAAGCACTTGTCATCAACCAACAGGGCGGCTGCTCGAAAGGTCTTCTGGGAACCGAAACCCCCGGATGCCAGTGTGACACCAGGGAGCCTGGCTCGAGCCCATCCTGCAGCGGCTGTGTGAGCCCCACACCTGGTGGTCACTCATAGACACACATACGGACCTCTTGGAACATTTTATTGGGGGAGGTTCACACAGTCTGACCCTACCTTAGGCCAGAAAATGACAAGAGGGTGACAGAAGCACTGGGACCCTGAGGTGGCTCAGATGGAAGCTGCAGCTTCTAGCTGCCTCAGTTTACCCGTTGTGAAATGTTCCCTTCCCGGCCTGAAACACTGCTTGATGAAAGGGGGAAAGCCCATGAGAGAGGTTCCCACTCCCAGGGCCTGCCCTGAGGCTCCTGGCCTCACACCGTGGAGCCAGAAACAGGCAATTTGCCCGAGAATCCCCGTGGCCCTGTTGGGGGGCTGGGGAGCGGGTAGCTCGCTCTGAAGACCTGGCAGCTGGGGCAGGGACCAAGGGAGATTCTTCTAGACAACACCTGAACTTTCCAGAAGGGAAGTCTGAGCTTCCTGAGCCCTCGGGTCAGGGCAGGGGAGCAGGGAGAGCAGCCCTGCCTTGCTGGGGGAGGGTGGGGTGCAGAGCTGAGGGAATCCTCTCCAGGCCCCAGCCCAATCCGGGGCTCTTTCTGGGAAAGGAGACAGCAGCCTGGTTCATGGAATTCCCAGGCAGAAGCTTAGTGGCTGAAGTGGCGGGCAAAGGGGTGTCACGGTGGTGGCCTACTCCTCCCGGAGTTTTTCTGGGGCGAGGCTGGCGGCCTGGGGTGACGTCTTCCTGCGGCCGGGGCTGCCCCCACCCAGGGCCAGCCCCAGCAGCAGGGCGGCCACAGCCACGATGTGGACGCAGAAGTAGACAGAGGCCCAGTACCGGAGGGTGTCTCCCAGGGACAGCAGCACAAAGCCCATGCACATGTAATCGTAGGCCCGCATCTTCAGGAACCAGTGCACCCAGTCCCAGGCCTTCTGGCCCCCGGGGCTGAGCCGCCCCCGCAGGGCTGACTCCAGCCAGCCCTCAGCTGACAGGCACAGCGGGATGGTCAGGAAGCTTAGGTAGTAGCCAGGGTGCAGGCCGTGCCAGTAGGCGCTCAGCAACATGGTCCAGGCGCTCCTGGGGGAGAGGCTGAGATTCAGGACCTGGGAGCCAGACCCCCTAGCCCCTCCTCCCTCAGACCCAGGAGTCCAGGCCCCCCAGCCCCCTCTTCTCTCAGACCCAGGAATTCAGGCCCCAGCCCCTTCCTCCTCAGACCCAGGAGTACAGGCCCCAGCCTGCTCCTCCCTCAGACCCAGGAGTTCAGGCCCCTCAGCTCCCTCCTCCCTCAGACCCAGGAGTTCAGGCCCCTCAGCCCCCTCCTCCCTCAGACCCAGGAGTCACTACTCTTCAGGAAATCTGGTTAACCCCTCTTATCATATCTGTCCTTAAGACCCAAGAACCTGAGCCTCCAGCCACTTCCTTTTGGCATCAGTATAATTCCTGATTCATGAGGACTCAGAAATCTCCAGCCATGGTCTCCTCTTTCTATGACCCAAACATGCTTTCCATAGAAGACCCACAAACTCAGGCACGTGCATGGAAGACACAGAAGTCACAGCAGGCTCTGCCATGGACCACGGCCTGGGGTGGGGATGGAGCTCTTCCTGGTCTGTGGCATCAACTTTTCCTTCTGGCTTATCAGGGTGCTGATGACACCTGGTGACACAATGATGCTGTCCTCTCATTCTTGGGGGGCACACAGAGTCCATAAAAAGGCTGAATTTTCCTTGCTACCAAAAGGGGAGACCTTTCTCTCTCTCTCTCTCTTCTTGGCTACTTCCCTGGAAAACCTAGTGTTTGAGACTCTTTCCTCTGTCCTTTGGGTGTAGATGAAAACATCACAATCCATGAATGTTTTTCTGGAGGGAGGTGGTGCCACCTCTGCGAGATCTACAGGGTCCCTGTCTCCCCACCACTGTGGGGGCCCATCCCAGCACCTGGCACCATGCTGCCACCTGCTCGTCATAGGCACACGTTCCAGTCTTCCTATTGAGCAGCACCAGTGGCTGCCCCCGGTCACCAGCCCAACTGAGGAAGAACATGAAGGAATGGGTGGCAAACGGAGCTGCTGAGTCCCTGCCAGAGGGCAAGTTACCATCGTGTCTCTCAAGCACGTGCTGCGTAGTAGGCTGTGACAGGTGGGTCTACAAGAAGGTGAGCTTTCCGGGTTGGTAATCTCCCTAGCGGGTTACAAGCGACGACGTGCATCACAGCCTGGCTTAATGCTAGCTCATTAACAAAACTGTTTTCTTTCTTTTCCACCTATAGTGGAGGAAGAATTCTCTGGGTCAGGAACTTTGCAATGATGGTCCCCAACAGGGGGAAGCAGGGCAGCAGGGTGCACACGGATGGCGCCTGGGGACCTAGGATCATACACAGGTACACGGCAACACTGGGCATGGATCCTCCTCTGCTCGCCCTGTCTGGCAGTGAACACTCTCCAAGGACTAGCCCACGCTCCCCTCAACCCTTCCCCGTTTCTGTCCTCCCTGGAACCCACTCCAACTGCTTTTGCTTCCACCCACCAAACTGCTCCTGTCAAGGCTGCATCAAGGCTGCCGGGGACTTTCTCCTCCCCTCCCAACCCCGTGCTGAAGCTCCTGACGTCACCAGACACAAGTAACCCCTCCGTCCTTGAAGCACTCTGTTCACTTGGCTCCCACCTGGGAAGGAACACTTTCCTGACTGGCCTCCTATCTCATGGGCTGTGTCTTTGCCGGCTCCTCCTCGTCCCTAGTCCACACCAGGGTTTCTCAATTTCAGCACTACCAACATTTGGGGCCAGGTCATTCTGTGTTATGGGGGCCATTCTGTGCTTCCCAGGATGTTGAGGAGCATCTCTGCCTCTAAGCACTGGATGCCAGTAGCACCTCCCGGTTATGACAACGTTTCTAGCTGTTGATGAATGCCCGCCCGCTCCCCCGCCCCCGGCCAAGGAGTGTGGCACAAACTCTCCCTCCCCCACCCATTGGGAATGTCTAATGTCTGGAGCCCCCTGGACTTTGACCTGGTGCTCGGCTCCAGAGCCTTCCATATTGCCTCTACCTGATGATACCGGAGTGTCTGCTTCTCACACCGACCTCCTTATGTGCCAGAGTCACGCAACTAACGGCCTATCTGGTAACCTCAGCTGAACGCAACTGTCACCCCAGGTTAAGTGACACTAGAGCTGTTTTGCTCCCTCATCTGACCCAGTCCTGAAACTGCCTCCTGCCCAGTCTCCCCATCTCGGGAATGGCCCTTCTGTGCCCTAGGTTCCCCCAGCCACCACCTGGTGTGCTGTGTCATCTCTGCACTTTCTTATTCCCACATCCAGTTGGTGCCAGACCCCGACCCCAGCACCCAGTAAGTCTGGCTTCATTACAAGACTCTGTCAGGTGCGTCCTGACCTCATCTGCTGGTTCTGGGAAAGCTGAGTAACACTAGGCAGATTAGCTAACCCTCTGAGCCTCAGTTCTACATCTTAAGGTTGTAAACATAGCAGTATCTGGCACAAAGTTTTCACTCAAGAAATATAAGATGAATGATGGAAAAAAATCTATAGTGACCACCCACCTGGCGGGCCCCACAGTGACTACATTTCACACTTTATCTCCCTTCATCTTCACATCAAACTATGAAGCAGGTAACATCATGACCCCCATTCAGGAGTTGAGGACACAGGTCAGCTCATTCATTAAGGTTTCTCTGTAGTTGGTAGGGCCAAGATTCCAGAAAGTCTGACCAGAGTCCATAGGATTCAGTACATTGCTTCTGTCGAATGAGGTTGACAGGACGGAAGTAGAAACTGAGGCCCAGAGAGGGGGAATGATTTACCTCCCAGAGGAATGCGAATCAATGGCAGGGCAACAGCCTCGAGAAACTACAACTCCCGTGACTCTATTGGGAGGAGGCCCGACCGCGGAGCCAGCAGGCAGCCCCAGGTGCTGCCGGAAGATGTAGTTCCGAGTTTTCCCAAGGCAGGCGGGCTCACCTGAGAACATAGGAGCGGGCAGGTGCGCTCTTGTAGATATACTGTGCCAGCCACCACTGCACCGTCATGTTCCAGTACCGCATGCCATCCCGCACCCGCACGCAGAAGTCAGTGCCGTAGCAGTCGATGTTGCGGATGGTCTCATAGTCGTACTCCAGGGAAGCCGCCTTCTCCGGACTGGGGGTGGGGGGTGGAGGATGAGGGTGGGGGACAGACATGCAGCTCAGCCAGGCCCCCTCCCGACGCTGGCTACTGTCCTAGCCCCAGACACTCGGGAGGGGATCACAGCCAGCAGTCACAGATCACGCTCTGGCTGTCACATTTGCTAGGGCAACAGGGCTGGGGGGGGGGAGCTTTTCCAGGACTAAGACTAGTGGAGGTGAGGGGCACAGTTCACTGACAATGGGGTCCTCCTCTTGGTAACAGGGCTGCAACAGCAAGGAAGAGCCTGGAAGAGCTACAGTTGCTAAGCTAGGAGTCCTTAGCAACCTGATCCTTCACTGGTCTCTGATGCTAGGGAAAGGCCATTCCATAGCAACCAAGCTCACTATATTCCAAGAAGCTTCCAAGTATGGTCCCTTCTAAGTGGAGAAGATACTGTGGTTGCTAGGGAAGTAGCATTCCTAACAATGAGGTGGTCTGTGGTTGCTAGGGAGATGTTCTGACCCATGTGACACCAGGATGGTCTCTGTTGCTAGAAAAAGGGCATTCCTTAGCAAAAAGGCCTGGGATGTTTAGAAATGCTTCCAGAAAGGGCCTTTCCTGGTTATTGGTCCTATGATGACTTAAGAAGTGTCATCTCCAGCAATACGGTGGTTCCTGGATCACTGGTGTCAACATCCCCAACATTCTGCACCCATCTGAGCCGTTGGTGGTTTCTGATAATGGGATGGGAGCCATTTATTACAAGTGGGGCTCAGTAGATTTAGAAAAGCCTTCAGTTTCTGCTTGACATTTTCTGGGAGACACTCTCTCTAGTAACTGGAGGTCCACTCGTGGTTACCAGGGCAGTGGCTGAAATTCGTTTGGAGGTGCCACTTCCCCCTTAATGGAATGGCTGTCTGTGACTACTAGGGGATGCCCCAATCTGGGCAAGGAGGAATTCATAATTTACATAGATAGGCTGCTTTGCCCAGCCTCAGCCCCAGGTAGAAGGCCACCCATGTTTGCTAGGAACAGTGGGGCAGTCCATTCCCAGTTGCTAGGAGCATCATTTCCCTAGCAACATAGGGGCAACACTTCCTTAGCAACAAGATGCCCCTAGTTACTGGCAGTGTGACCTACCCAACAACTAAAGAAAGGGGTGAGGTGAGGGCTGCAGCATTGCCAACAAGGTCACTCCATAGTTACCAGGGTATGTCCTTGGCAATGGTAGGAAAGTGACCTGCGGTGGCTAGGAGTGCCATTCCCTCTGTGCAGAGGGCAGCATGGTCAGGGATGCCATTTGCTTAGAAGGTGCAGGCTGCTAGGACAGCCCATGGTTGGGGGTGTGTGTGCTGGCTTCTAGCCACAGAGGGCAGTTTAAAGGGGATGCTATTTACATAGCAATGAAAAGCAAGTCTTGTGGCTGGAAGGGGCAGGCCACGGTTGCTAGGGAAGCACTTCTCTGGCACAGAGGGGCAGTCTAGTTGCCAGGGTACCATTTCCCTAGCAACACAGGGTGGGGCCCCATCACAGCCCAAAGATGGTATCTGGAGTAACCAGGAACAACCGAGCTACCAGGGTAACACTTCTATGGCAACAGAAGGGCAGTGCATGGTTGCTAAAAGACCATCTTCCCTCTCCTAACAACAGAGAGCAGTTCGCCATCCCAAGAGGTGACAAGCAGTAGCACAAGGGGCAGTGGAAGGTATGGGGAGTATTGCTCCCTAGGACAGGGGTAGGTGGGCGACACTCTTCTGACAACAGGTGATGAACCTGCTCCCTTGCTCCCCACTCTCCTCCCTGCTAGGGGCATGACCAGCCTGTGGTGATGGGGCCTGCCGGGTCTTGGGAAGCCTCCCTCCCACTGCCTGACCTGCTGGGGGGTGGGCATTGGAGGGTGGGGCCGCCCCCGGCCCGGGCCTTGGCGGCCACAGGGTAGGCCCCGAAGCCGGCAGCAATGCAGCCGCACTCAGCGGCAATCCAGGCCACGTAGAAGCGCATGCGGAAGGCGAAGAAGACGGGGATCATGTAGAAGAGGCGGGCGGGCAGCGGGCGGGCGTAGAAGGCGTCCTCACGCACGGCCTCCAGCGGGAAGAGGTGTGAGGACAGCAGGAATAGCAGCCCGAAGAGGGGGGCCGGCCAGGCTCGGCGCAGGAGGGGCCGCAGGCTGGGCACGGCTCCCGGGAAGGGCTGCTCCAGCCAATCCAGGTAGGTGCGGTAGCGGAAGAATGGGCCTGTGGCAGGAGGGAGGAGGGAGGGGTGGCTGGTCAGACATCCCTGGCTGGGAGGGTGGCCACAGCTAGTGTCTGATGTCCGGGGGGGGCCTGAGACTGGGGAGCTGCGGGGAGAGGGTTATGAAACCTCCAACAGGAGGAAGGAGGCCAGAGGCCTGAGATTGGGGAGATGGGGGGGAGGGGCGAGGAGGAGGGAGAGGGGTCTGAAACCCAGAACAAGGAGAGTGACACTCAGAGAAAAAAGGACAAGAAAATCAATGAGTGAGCAGACTCTTGATCTTGGGGTCATGAGTTCCAGCCCCACATTGGGTGCTGGGTATAGAGATTACTTAAAAACACAATCTTAAGTGCAGTGTGTATCTACAATGGAATATTACTCAGCCATCAAAAAGACTGAAATCCTAGCTGTGGAGGGAACCAGAGGGCACTATGCTAAGTGAAATAAGTCAGTCAGAGAAAGATAAACACATGTGCTGTAACTCATGTGTGGAATTTAGGAGACAAAACAAATGAACACAGGGGAAGGGGAAGCGGTGCACCTCGGTGACTCAGTTGGTGAAGTGTCAGCCTTCTGCTCAGGTCATGATCTCAGGGTCCTGGGATCAAGCCCTGCGTTAGGCTCTCTGCTCAGCTGTAAACTGCTTCTCAATCTCCCTCTCCTGCCCCCCCCCCCTTGTGCTCTCTCTCTCTCTCTCAAATGAATAAATAAAATCTTAAAAAGGGTGGGGGGAAGGAGACCATAAGAGACTCTTAACAATACAGAACCACCTGAGGGCTGATAGAGGCAGGTGGGTGGGAGATGGGCAGGATGGGTGCCTGGCATTAAGGGAGCACTTGCTGGGATGAGTACTGAGCGTTGCATGTAAGTGCTGAATCACTGAATTCTACCACTGAAACCAATCTGACACTGTGTGTTAACTAACTTGAATTTAAATAAAAGTTTGGAAGGAAAAAAACTAAAAATATAAGTAAAATCTTAAAGAAAAAAAAGACAGACACTGGAGAGAGGGAGTTCACAGGACTGAGAGAGAAAGAGGACAGAGCAGCCAGATGGTGAGGAACAAAGACCTAGAGAAGGAGGGCTATGGAGACAAGTCCCCGAGAAAGATGGGGATGCATAAGCCAGACCCCGTGGGATGGGAGTGAGCTCTGCATGAGGGAGAAGGTAGAGTGGTGCATCTGTAAAGGAAGAGAGAGGTGGGAGAAGAAGCCAGAGGGTCGCAGAGGTCAGGTCGCTGGCCTTGCAGGCACCAAGAATGGGGGCGGGGGGTGTTCTGTGCTGAGAGCTAGGAAACCAGCGTAGGCTAGGAAGTGCTGGGAAGTGCAGAATAGCATTTCCCTTCATCCCTCGAGCAGGGCTGAGACTGCCAGGGGTCACTGATGGAAAGGAAGACAGGAAAGAGCTGTCAAGCCAGAGATACACTCATGACCTGGCCTGGGGAGGGGGCTGTGGGGATGAACAGAAGCGGCCACGTCACATGTCACAAAAAAGACCAGATTGAGTGGGATTCCATTCGTAATGATCCAAAGGGGCAAGTCTGCGGTGGTTTCCAGGAGCTGGGGCCTGGGAAGGTGATACAACTGTCCTACAGTGATGTGGTGGTGAAGGTTGCATGGCTCCGCAACTGGACTTAAAGCTAGTGAATGGGATGCAGTTTGAAGTGGGCGAACACATGGATCAGAGATCAGGACAGCAGTCATCAAACAGAAAACCACCTAGGAGGTCAGCGTCAGTGGAAACTACTTCCTGAGGCTAACGTGGGAGTGGAATGTATTTATTCCCTGCATGGCAGAAACCTCAGGCTTCCATAGGTCATTCTCCCTCATCTCCTATTTGCTCCCAAGAAGCCACAGGAAATCATTTAGGCGGAGAACAGTCTGTCTCTACTCTGGAGGAGCAGCGGGAAAGCTTGACATAAACCCAGGCCTAGATGCTCATCCTTTACAGGAGCAGACACTGGGATGGAGGCAGGAACACAGGGCAAGCACCAAAGTCAGGGTGCAGAATGGAGCCGAGAGGGTGATGGGATGGGGGCACAGGCACACTCACCTGTCATGATTCCTACGTAGCAGTAGCTGTAGCTGAGTGTCTCCATCAGGGAGGGGACGTCGGGCAGGAGCCCCAGGCTGGGCCCCTTGCTGAAACCTGAGGCCATTTCCTTCCTCTGGGCCAAGTGCAGGTCCTGTACTTCACTGGCCAGGCTCACCAGCTGGGAGCAGGGGGCACAGGTAGGGTACAGACACATCAGACAACAGGACCTCCTCGCCCCCACTCCTCTCAGCAGCCAAGGGGTGCTGCGGCCGGCGTGCCACTGGGAGCCGAGCTTCTATTCCAGGGGCAGCTCTGGGCCTCTGGAATCAGGAGTGGCCCGGTAGTAGCTTCTGCTAGCTGAGGACTTTGGGCACTCCCTTCTGGGCCCTTCCATCTCTCTGTTCCCCCTTCCAGGTTCTTCTGTCCTCTGTGGCTTGATACCAGCCACGATCTCATGACCTCCACAAACTGTATCCTTAGTCTGGGTTCCTCCCTCCAGCCCCCAAAACCACTCAGGGTGACTCCTGTCATTAGGACTTGGATACCTGCCAGGTTCCTCAGACTTGACACATCCAGAGTGGAGCGTGGTGCTACTCACTCCACAGAGCGGGTCCCCTCCCAGTCCCCTCAGCAAAGGCCACTAGCAGCCTGAACTGCTCAGACCAGGAACCTGCCTTACTTCCCAGATCTGATCCCGCAGGTCTCGGAGTCTGTCCCCCACACTCTGCTGAGGCTGAATGCGTTCACCCTGGTTCCCTGCCCCCCCCCCCCCCAACCTTCTCTGCAGACCTCAGGCTGAGCCTACAGCAGCAGGCCTCAGCTGGGCTTCCAGCTTCCTCTCAGGTTTGGCCCATAGAAAGCCTAGGGTGGAGAGGGGGCAGGCAGGATTGAGCACTGGGCTCTTCTTCCCTTGTAAGATCCCCAGGGCCTGGCTGTGCCCCTTCACTGATGGACGGATCGTGTCAAGGTGGAGGGAGGGCTCTGCACAATGTCTTCCCTTCAGGTTGTACTACCTGGCCCTCCTCTCGGCCCTGGGCTCCCCAGCTGCTGGTCCAGGATTCCTGCACTGTCCCCTCTGGCTCTTCTACATCCTGCCCCCACTGCTGTAAAGAAGAACTCCTCAAAGTGTCCCAAATGCAGCATTTCCTGCTGGAGCTCTGGCTGTATCAAGCTGCCACTGCCAGTCAGCAGGACTTTGATCAAGGAGACCATCCTTATCCCTTCTTGCCCTTTCTGTGGCAATTCTGTTAGCATCCAGAGCATATTTCCAAACACATAAACCTGGTCCCATTACCTCTTCTGGCAACAAACCAAAAGACCACTCCCAGGGGCTCCTGGGCCCCATAAGAAGCCCAAAGCCCACACCTTGGGCCCATTCCCCTTCCTTCTCCCATTGCACACTCGCTATGGCTGGCACACCATTGATGCAACCCGGCCTGCTCCCTTCCACACCCTGGTCCTATATCCCGAAAGGCTCTCCCTCCAACTCTTTGCTGACCAACTCCTGCCTGTCCTTGCCTTGCCACCCGAGAACCTGGGACACTGAGGACACTGGGTTCACAACCTTGTGTGACTATCCTGTGCCCTGATATGTTGTTGGAGCCAGGCACATGGGAAATCCTGACTTTTCAGTCGGGGGTGGGGCCTGGGAATCTGCTTTCACCCATTCTCCCAGGTGATAAAGAGCCAGACATGGATGTCCTGTGCCCTTAGAGAAGTGCTTTCTCTCCAAAGCTGTTTCTCCTACCTTGCTAAATGGTTTGCTACCAACACGTGCTCCTGGAGAACACGTTGGTAAAGCACTTAGCTCCCCTCTGGCAAATGGCAAACACCTACGGTTACATTACATAGATGGGGGTGTGGGTGTACTTCTCTACCCCAGGGAATAGCTGAGAGGTGAAGATCTGCCCAGAGCATGAAGGGGCAGATCACCCACGTCCTGGGGTACAGGGGAGGTAAGATCCCACTTCCCCTGCTCCCCACAGGAGTGGGTCAGGGGAGGAGGAGGTGAAAATGGGAGTTCAAGGGTACAAAGAGGGGCTGGAGGGGCATCTGACCTTGAGTGTGAGCAGCAGCTGAACCGCATTGGTGAAGGGCGTGGGGGTGGGAAGGCCCAGCAGGCTGAGCGCACGGAAGAACAGCAGGTACGAGAAGGTCCAGGCCAGGGCGAGGGCGTGGCAGGAGCTGGGACAGAGGAAGGCCGCAGGCTGTGTTGGGTGCAGGGCCCTTGCCTCTGCCTCCCCCAGAGTCTAGCTCCAGAACCTCCCCCACCACCACCCCAAAAATGGGGGATGGTAGAAGAAGGGGCGCAGCCCCACAGAAATGCTCCATGCCAGAGAAGAGCATGAGAAGGGGTCAGGAGAAGCTTTAGGGTGAAAACCCACAGGGCCTCCATCTTTTCTGCAGGAGGCGAGAAAAAAGGAGGGAGAAAGAGACATAATACAAACACGAATGGTGGCAGGGCCAGCACACAAACGCCCCTTCCTCCTGAATACAGGATCTGGATGTTAAGGATCAGGTCAATCGCACAGGGATGAGACCCAGAAGAAAAGGCACGAGAGGAAGAGAAACAGACCAAACGACACAGTGAGTTCAGAGATAAGCAAGAGATGTCCAGAGACAGAGGCAGAAAGGGACAGACCTCCTCCCCACTCCCCCTCCCACCAAATCCTCACCAGGGCTGGGCCTGGATGAGGGCCCAGGTCCCAAGGATGGTGATCAGAGAATGCAAAGTGTGGGGGCCACAGGTGAACAAGGTGAGCCCCAGGCCCACGGCTGCTGCCCCCCATCTCTTCAGCCCAGGTCCTGCAAAGAGAAGGGAGAGCATAAGCCTGGAACCTTCCAGGGAGCTCCTGCCGGGTTCCCCCCACCCCTCCCCCAGTTTCCACTAGGGAGGGAACCTAACTCACCAGCTTTCTTAAAGAGGAAGCCGATGGGGATGGAGATGAGAAGCACCACTAGGTAAGTCCATTCTTCAGGCGACATGGTCTGGGGGAGGGGCAGAGGTTCCTAGTGAGGCCCCTCCCCCCTGGAGGGTTCCGGAACCCACTCTCCCGTAGTTCCCAGTTGTGAGGGTCCTGGAGTCCTACCCTCAGCTCCTCTCCTCTGAGAACACGGAAATCTGTACCTCTAGAACCTTCCTCCTTCGAGGATAAAGAAATCTACCCCCCCCAGCTCCGCTTTTCTGAGAACCCGGGCCACCAGTCCTCTTCCCCTGTGAGAACCAGGAACCCAGACCTCTCAGGCCCTCTCTCTGCGATCCCAGAAATCAAAGCAACTCCCCCCACCCCAACTGAGGTCCCAGGGATTGAGATATCCCTCTGAGAACCCAGCAACAACCCTTGTCCCAGGCCCTTCCCTTGGAGAGCCCAGGATTCCAGATCTCCCGGCCTCCTCCTCCCTCCTTCGAGGACCCAGGAACTCAACCCTCCCTCTCCGATAACCCAGGTTTCAGCCTCCAGCCTCCACCTCCTCCGGAGCTGCAGACCCTTCTCCCACCTGAAGCCCGGAGGACGGTCCACCCCAGCGCCCCAGTTCCCCGCAGCGCAAGTCAGACCTCCCGGCAGAGCCACAGGCGGTTACGCCACTCCGCGCTCCGCCGCGCTCTCGGCGCCACACCCGCCCGGGTCGGCCTGCGGGTCCGCAAGCGCCCCCGCCTCGCCCCCGAGGCGCCCCGCTCCGGCCCACCTGGGCCCGGCTCCGCGCTGCCCGCCGGGCAGAAGGCGGCGGAGCAGTCCCGGCCCACCGGCGCCCCGGATCCGGCCACGCCTCCCTCGCCCCGCGCGCGCGGTCCCGGGCCGGGTGCGCGGCTCCGCAGGCTGCGGGCCAGGCAGGGAAGCGTCCTGCTCCGCGCGCCCGCGAGCCCCCCTCGGCCGCTGCACCTGGACCTCACGGCAGCCAAGCCCAGAGCACGTAAAGAGGCGAGGCCTCGGACTTGAAGGAGGCGGGGCCTCGCTTCGGGTTCCCTCGGGCAGAATCGGCGGCAGCTTGGAGGCGGGGCCACGGGCTTCGGCTTACTTCGGAAGTCTCTGTTCGGATGTAGGCGGGGCCAAGAGCTCCGGGCGGATGTAGGCGAGGTCATAGCGTCGGTTTCGTTCGGAGATGGTTGGGTACCAGCGGCTCAGATTAGGAGATAGGCGGAGTCTGTTTTTTCCTGAGGAGGCGGGGCCACAGACAGGGATCGGAAGGGGGCGGGGCTAACAGTAGCCCAGCCCGAGGGGCGGCCCCCGTTGACCTGTCAGCCGCGGGGGCGGGGCGGGGGCGGGGGCGGGGCGGGGCCAGGGTAATTAGCCTCCCGCACTCGAGAGGCAGAACCGTAGAGGCGGAGGGAGGTTCGCTTCGCGGGGGCGGGGCCAGGTTGTTCCCCTTCGCAGGAAGGCGGGGCTACGGTGCTGCTGGGGCGGATCCCAGACTTCCCGCTCGGCTGAGGCGGCGGCGTGACGAGATTGACGCAGGGGGTCGGAACGGGGAGGGGTGGAGGAAGCTGCGCGTGGCGCGCGACGTAGGGGGTGGCTCCGCCGGGGCTGCGAGCTGGTGTTTACGAGGTGCCTAACTCGTTCTATCGGAGGACGGTACCGCATTCTGAGGGGAACGCTCACGAGGAGGTGAGCCCGCCCGAGCAGGGAACGGACGGCGGGTGCTCAGGGGGAGGGACCTCCGGCTGCGGGGTTCGCTCAGTAGGGCGGGTACTCCCCAGCCGGGAGCGCCTGCGGCCGGAGCGGGCGGGGCCTGGCTGCTGGTTGACGGGAGCCGAGGGAGCCCGAACGCCGGCCTTCGGGAGGGGGCGGGGCTGCGAGTTCGGCCGACCCGGGAGGGGCGGGGCTTGTGCTGTGGGTGTCCCACCCCGCGAGAGGAGGGCCTGAGGCCGCGCCTCGTTGGTTCGGAAAGGGGAGGGGCCGAGTTCCGAGGCACCGGAAGGGGGCGTGGCCCCGCGCTAGGGGAGCAGAGGACCGGAACGCTGACTGCAGGGTCCGGAGGGCCGAGCTGGGCCCCAACGTCTCGGCGAGAGGCGGGGCCTCGTCTCGGCGGCACCGCGGCCTGGTGGGATCGCCCGAGGGCGGGGTCCGGGGCCCAGGGGGCGGGCCCGGCGGCCAGGGGGCGGGGCCTGGCGTGGAAAATTGGCAGGTGGCGAACGCGGCCCCGGCGAGGCTCCACCCCCCAGGCTCAGGGGCGGGGCGTCGCTGAGACACCCCACCCCCCACCCCCACCCCCACCCCCCACCCCCACCCCCACCCCCACCCCCGCGGTGGGAGCACTCTGTCGGTGACTGCTGTGCCTCCCTGGCCCCCGCAGGAGGATGCTGGTGGTGGAGGTGGCGAACGGCCGCTCCCTGGTATGGGGGGCCGAGGCGGTGCAGGCTCTGCGGGAGCGTCTGGGAGTAGGGGGCCGCACCGTGGGCGCCCTGCCCCGCGGGCCCCGCCAGAACTCGCGCCTGGGCCTCCCGCTGCTGCTGATGCCCGAAGAGGCGCGGCTTCTGGCCGAGATCGGCGCGGTGACCCTGGTCAGCGCCCCGCGCCCGGATCCGCGCCAACACAGCCTGGTAAGGGGCGGACGGGGTGGGGGCGGTGCAAACGCTCAGGACGTGGAGGCAGGACACCCAGACTGCGGGTCTCTGCGGGAGGGGTCTGGGCGCCTTGGATTCTGGAGACCGGGATCCCCAGGTTCAGGCTTTGGGTTAGGGAGGAGTCAGGGAGCCAGGGTTCCTGGCTTCCTAAGGCAGGGCAGACTTGGATCCTGGGATTCCCTCCGCTTTACTTCTCAGGCTCTGGCATCCTTCAAACGCCAGCAAGAGCAGGGCTTCCAGGAGCAAAGCGCCCTGGCAGCGGAGGCCCGTGAGACTCGTCGTCAGGAACTCCTAGAGAAGATTGCGGAGGGCCAGGCTGCGAAGAAACAGAAGCTGGAGCAGGAATCGGTGGCCAGCGAGAGCCAGGAGGCCAGTGCGAACCCGGCTGCCGCAGAGAGTGAGGCCGGTGCGAGCCAGGCTCCTGGAGAGCCGGAGGAAGCAGGTGAGGGTGGGAGTGGAGTCCACGGACCAGGAGCAGGGGAGAGGGAGATCTTTTGGGAATCCTGGCTGGGAATCTAGGGCCTGGGGCTCATTGGGGGATGGGAAGACATGTCCTTGGATGCATCAGACTCTTGCATTCACCTCCCGCAGGTTCCTCCTCTCCTCAGCCAGGGCCATCAAATGGGGTGGCCCCTTTGCCCAGGTCGGCTCTGCTGGTCCAGCTGGCCACTGCTAGGCCTCGACCTATGAAGGCTAGGCCCCTGGATTGGCGTGTCCAGTCCAAAGACTGGCCGCATGCTGGCCGTCCTGCCCATGAGCTTCGGTATAGCATCTACAGAGACCTGTGGGAACGAGGCTTCTTCCTCAGTGCAGCTGGCAAGTTCGGGGGTGACTTCCTGGTCTATCCTGGTGAGTTTTGTTGGGACCTCCCCTTGTGAAAGGGACCTCCTTTTTCTCAAAGCCCTCCCCTTTTTTCACAAGCCTGCCACCTTTTTGTCTTTTCTCAGCCTCTGAAACCCATGGAAGGACAAGAACACTTGGGAACCATTTGAAAGGCAGTATAGTAAATCTAAGCACTTTCTTTGATCCAGAAGTTTCATTCAGAGACTCTTAGATATGTGCACAAAACGTACAAGGAATCATCACTGCAGGATTCCTTACGGTAGTGAAATATTAGAAAGCAACCAGAATGATTATTAATAGGTTAGTGGTTACACACTGGTGTTAGTTGTCAGAGTAATGTAGGTCCATGTACATTTATGAAAAAATGACCAAAGGGGGGGAGGGGGAGAACCACTTGTTGGAAACAGGTACAGTAAAAAGCACATTATGTTTTCTGTTGTGATGCAGTTATGTACGTGTTATTTGAGTAGCCTTAAAAATTATGCTCTAGGGGCATCTGGCTGGCTCTTCCGGTAGAGCATGTGACTTTTGACCTCAGGTTGTAGGTTCCAGCCCCATATTGGGTGAAGAGATTACTTAAAATCTTAAAAAAAAAAAAAATCCATATGACTCTAGTGAAAGAATATGATAACTTAAGGTGAAGTATGGAGTGGAAAGTAACTAGCAAGGAGAAGAAGGCCTGAAAGAACGTACTCCAGCCCAAGTACAGTGGTTACCTCTGAGGAGGAATGTGCATTGGGTGTAGGTAAAGGAGACTTTCAGTGTATTAGTTCATTTTTGAATTTGTAGTAAGATTGCCTTTATTGTGTAACTAAAAGGTTAAAAAAGTAAGTCTGCAGGCAAATCACCTTTTTTTGTTCCTCCTGAGAACGCAGAAGGATAGAAACACCTGATACATAGTCAAATCTTAGCTATTGGTTGGAGACGACCGTGTCTTCTGCACACGAGCTGAGAACCTTCATCTCTTCTCAGACCAAACACTCAACTGAGGGACTGACTTAGGACAGACAGTGTACCTGCCCTGTGCTCTACAGAACCACTGTCCTTACTTTGCTGCTGGTTTTTTGTGACTTCTGTACATAAAAGGTGATTTTGGTTTTGAAAATGAGTGTTCAGCTTACTAAACATATGAAGGCTAATATCTAGTTTCTAAGCTTTCAGTTCAGGTTGCAAATCCTTCTTTCCAATCTAGCAGGTTTTTGTTTTGTTTTGTTTTGTTTTAATTCATGAGAGACACAGAGACACAGGCAGAGGGAGAAGCAGGCTCCACACAGGGAGCCCGATGTGGGACTCAATCCCAGGACCCCAGGATCACTCCCTGGGCCAAAGGCAGGCGCTAAACCACTGAGCCACCCAGGGATCCCTATCAATCTAGCAGATTTTGAGGGACTGTTTGTCCCTGTGTGATCCTACTCACAGAAGGCCTTATGTGGTTCTCAGCGTTAGAAGCTGCATTTTAAATTTTAATGTATTTCTTTTCCTTTTTAAGTTGTATGGTTTTCTGGTTATAGAACTTGCCAAAAACTCAGATCTAATAAATTGCAAATGGGCTGAGTTTTAAGTTTACATGTTCTAATACGGTTAAGAGTCTTACTAAAACTACAGGTTAAAATAAGGTTAAATCTGGATCACCTGGGCAGCCCGGGTGGCTCAGCAGTTTAGCACCACCTTCAGCCCAGGGCGTGATCCCGGAGTTCTGGGATCGAGTCCCATGTCAAGCTCCCTGCATGGAGCCTGCTTCTCTCCCTCTGCCTGTGTCTGTGTCTGTGTCTCTGTCTCTCTCTCTCTCTCATGAATAAATAAAATCTTAAAAAAATAAATTTGGAGCACCTGGGTGGCTCAGTTGGTAAAGCATCTGCCTTCAACTTGCATCATGATCTCAGGGTCCCGGGATTGAGTCCTGCATCAGGCTCCCTGCTCAGTGGGGAGTCTGCTTCTCCCTCTCCCTCTACCCCCTACCCCCTGCTCATGCACGTGTGTGTGCTCTCTCTCTCTCATAAATAAAAAAAAAATTTTTTAAAAAGTAATAAAATAACAATGAAATAAGGTTAAATACACCAACAACTTAATCACACATTTGAAACTGGCCCACAAGGCTGACCTGTTAGGTTTTTTTTTTTAAGATTTTATTTATTTATTTATGAGAGACAGAAAGAGAGGCAGAGACATAGGCAGAGGGAGAAGCAGACTCCTCGCAAGGAGCCCGATGTGGACTCGACCCAGACTCCGGGATCATGCCCTGAGTCAAAGGCAGATGCTCAACCACTCAGCCATCCAGGCATCCCTGACCTGTTCTAATACATCAATATTTCTAAAACAATGCATACTTGATATATATGAGATATACATAAAATCCTTATTCCCTGAAGATGAAAATCTTCAAGGTCTGAATCCCTTAAATATTTCTAACAGTGAATCTTCCCAATCTTAAAAGACACTAAGTCTTTTAGAACAGTTTTGGGGTACCTTCTCAAGTGTTTTGATGCTTCCTTCTGAGCCGGCAGAGGTGTCACACCAGACAGAGTGATGCCTGGCTCCTGGCTGTGTTCTGGCTGGAAATCCAGCTAACAGTCCTCTCATGTGGGATATCTCACCGCTTTGCTCTTGTAGGTTTACATTACCTACCCCTTTATCTTCTGTATGGTACCCCACTCTGGTTCCTACTCTATTTGATCAGATTTACCTAATTCAGGGGCAGACCACAACCCCAGGTCAAATGCAGTCCAACAGGTTTTAAAGGTAAAGTTAGCAAAACGCAGCCCTGTCCATTTGTTGACGTACGGTCTGTGGCTCCTGTTGTGCTACAGTGCAGAGGTGAGTACCTGTAACATGGCCCACAAAATGGAGGGTATTTAGTATCTGGCCCTTTTCTGAAAAATTGTGTTAGCTCCTTTATCGCATCTATTTATCACTCCATCCTTTTGTAAATTCTTTTCTTCTTTTACTCTGTTAGAGTCACTTCTTGGATATTCACATGACATGGCTTTGACTGACTTTGTGGTCCTAGTTCTTACATCACGACAGTGATATATTCAATTCACTGTTTTGTTTTTTTAATACAATTATGCCATACATCTGTGGCAGTTTGCCCCACCTGCCCCTCCCCACGCAGGGTATTGTTTATTTTTCCATGTTGGTACATTCTTTTCATTTTAACAGCTATAATCGCTTCTCAGCCTTTTGGCTAAGATCAAGTGCATTTAAACAGCTATATAGGGATCCCTGGGTGGCACAGCGGCTTGGCTCCTGCCTTTGGCTCAGGGCGCCATCCTGGAGACCCGGGATCGAATCCCATATCGGGCTCCCGGTGCATGGAGCCTGCTTCTCCCTCTGCCTGTGTCTAAGTCTGTGGGTTTTTTTTTAATCATTTTTTTAAAATTTTATTTTATTTTTTTTAATAAATTAATTTTTATTGGTGTTCGATTTACCAACATACAAAATAACACCCAGTGCTCATCCCGTCAAGTGTCTCCTTCAGTGCCCGTCACCCATTCACCCCCACCCCCCGCCCTCCTCCCCTTCCACCACCCCTAGTTCATTTCCCAGAGTTAGGAGTCTTTATGTTCTGTCTCCCTTTCTGATATTTCCCACACATTTCTTCTCCCTTCCCTTATATTCCCAAGTCTGTGGTTTTGATTGTTTCCATTTTTTAGCAGTTGTAAATGATAACAGAGTGAACATCTTCAAAGATATATTTTAGTGCCACTATCCTTATAAGTAAAAAATGCCAAAGAGTGGAACTGCTAGGTACAAGAAGAGCTATTTTGAAATATTCATAGTGATTACTAAAATGATTCCTGTCTCCTACCTGTAGACATTCCAGTGTCTTCTATCTAGCCTTCTACCACTGGGAACTGCTACATGTCTCTCTTTTACCTAGGTGACCCACTTCGTTTCCACGCCCACTACATTGCTCAGTGCTGGGCTCCTGGGGACCCCATTCCACTCCAGGACCTGGTTTCTGCTGGCCGCCTGGGGACCAGCGTCAGAAAGACGCTGCTGCTCTGTTCCCCTCAGCCTGATGGTAAAGTGGTCTACACCTCCCTGCAGTGGGCCAGCCTACAGTGAACTCCAGAGACCCGTGGGGATGTGGCTGCATCTGTGGAAAGAGCCTTTCTAGATGGTCCCAAGCTCATCTCTGCAAATGGGAGGCTGCAAACCCTCCTACCTCTTTCTGCGTTTAGATTTTGACTCTGGATTTATAAACACTACATCCTTCTTATTTCCCTCCCTGTTTCAAAGCACTTATTGGCTGTGATATTTTTGTAGTTACCTATTTCCAAGCTGTGAGCTTCTTGAGGGTGAAGACTGGGTTTGATTCATCTCCAGTTTCTACAATGCTTAGGGCCAAGAGGTCTCAGTAAACTTGTTGAATAAACGCGGAGTCTGTGTTTTGAATTCTGATGGCAACGGGGCGGGGGGGGGGGGGGCAGTGTGGGTGTTTGCATTTGCTTATACAGAGGAGGGAATGCCTGGAGGAGTCCTGCTGCTAGTGGGTAGCCAGTGGGGCTGGGATTTTTTTTTTTTAAGATTTTATTTATTCATGAGAGAGAGAGAGGCAGAGACACAGCCATAGGAAGAAGCAGGCTTCATGCAGGGAGCCCAACATGGGACTCAATCCCGGGTCTCCAGGGTCACACCCTGGGCTGAAGGCAGCGCTGATTTAAAACTTGGTCTTTCTTTCTTTCTTTCTTTCTTTCTTTCTTTCTTTCTTTCTTTCTTTTTTTCTTTTTTTTTTTTTTTTTTAAACCTGGTCTTTCTGAATCCAGGGTCTGCACTCTTCCCACCACACTGAACTTCCTTTTGAGAAGACTTTCACAGAGTGTTTCAGGTGCACACAAAGGCATAAATAAAAGTAACATGAAGAAAAGGCACATGAGTGTTGCAGTTTCAGGACAGAGATTCAGGTGGGGAGGGAATGTCAGGAGGGACACTTAGGGCTGTGGAATGCTGCTGGTGGTTTTTTTTCTTGGCCTGGGTGGTGTTTATTCAGGTGTATAGCATTATTTTTTATACCATACATTTATGATTCAGATCATTTTTTTATATGGGTGTTCTGTTCCACCCTTTCTTAAAAAGCTGAAACACATCCAGAGAAAATACACATTTGTGAGATGCCTTTCTGCTTGAAAAATTGCTTGAACGTTATCACTACTGATTTTCAATATTTACATATATACTTTAAAAATGCATAGTTTGTTACATAGATTTTGTTACTGAAATACAGTCACATGGTAATGATTCTGGAGCTGAAAGTGTCTATCTCTAGTTTCTCAATGTCTGGGCTGCCAATTTCTTCTTTCTTTCCTATCCTTCTCAGTAAACGAATTTGCTAGAACCTCATATTTCCTGTAAGCTTAGATTAATTTAAAACAGGACACAAATCCCTGCCTCATTAACACTCTGTTTTTTGTGCCTGTTTGATAACTGGCTTGCAAATCTATTCTCCAGGCTCTCTCTTCTCTACAACAAAGTACTTAGTTGAGTCAGTACTGAGTACCTCTGTCTTGAGTCTTCCCTCAAAAATTCCTCATTAAAAACTTGGCACTTGGTGGGCAGCTCTTGATCTCAGGGTCATGAGTTCAAGCTCCATGTCTAGGTCTACAGTTTACTTAACAACAACAACTTGTAAGGACTTCCACATGCAAAAGAAGAAAGAGAAGAAGGAAATGTAGACTTTATGCCCTTTACAAAAATTAACTCAAAATGGATCATAGACTTCAGTATAAAATGCAGAGCTATTTAACTCATAGGAGATAATAGGAGAAAACCTAGACAACCATGGTTGTGGCCATGACACTTCAGACAGAATACCAAAGGCAGGACCAATGAAAGAATTGATAAGGTGGACTTCACTAAAATTAAAAACTGAGGACGTACTGCAAAAGACAGCTGATAAAAGACTGTCGTCCGAAATATAGAAATAATTCTTAAACCTCAACAGTAAGAAACAACCTAACCAGGGGCACCTGGGTGGCTCAGTCGGTTAGACACCCCACTGGAGCCCAATGTGGTACTAGATCCCTGAAATCCAGGATCACACCCTGAGACAAAAGCAGAGCTTAACCACTGAGTTATCCAGGCATCCTGTCAGCTCAGGTCTTAAACTCAGCATTATGAGTTCAAGCTCTGCATTAGGCTCTGCACTAGGTGTGGGAACCTACTTAAAAACATCGGGCTCCCTGCATGGAGCCTGCTTCTTCCTCTGCTTGTGTCTCTGCCTCTCTCTCTCTCTCTCTCTCTCTCTCTCTCTGTCGTTAATAAATAAATAAAATCTTAAAAAAAAATAAAACAACAATCTGACCTAAAAAAAAAAAAAAAAAAAAAAGCCAAAGACCTTAACAGACCCCTCACTGAAGGAGTTCTACAGATGGTGAGTAAGCACATGAAAAGATGCTCCACATCTTGTGTCATGTAGACATGAAATTAAGTAACAGTGAGATACAACTACACACCTGTTAGAATGGCCAAAATCCAGAACATTAACACCACCAAATGCTGGAGAGATGAGCATCCAAAACTCATTCATTGCTGGTGGGAACACAAATTGGCACAGCCAGTTAGGAAGACAGTCTGGAGATTTCTCACAAAACTGAATATACTCTCACCATATCAAATTGATGTGACTGTTTCCAGTAAGTATATTCCTTGGTATTTACCTAAAGGAGCTGAATATTTATGGCCCCATCAAAACCAGATGTTTATAACAGCGTTATTCATAGTTGCCAAAACTTGGACACAATCAAGACGTCCATTGTAGATGGATAAATAAACTAGTCCATCGAGACTATGGAATATTATTCAGTGTCAAAGAGAGCCAAAGTATCAAGCCATGAAAAGACATGGAGAAACCTTAAATGGACAGTACTAAGTGAAAGCAGCCAATCTGAAAAGGCTGCTTACTGTATGATTCCAACTGTGTGACATTCTGGAAAAGGCAAAACTGGAGACAATAAAATGATGAATAGTTGCCAGAAGTTAGGGAGGAGGGATGAACAGGAGAACAGAGGATTTGTAGGCCAGGGAAACTACTAAGACCATACTGGTGGATATGCATCACTATACATTTGTCCAAACCCATAGTGCGCACATCACGAGTGACCTCTAATGTGAACTATAGGGCTTGGTGCAAATGAGGTGTTGATGTAGGCTTATCAGTGGTAACAAATGGACCCCCAGGTGGGGGATGCTGATGTTGGAAGAGACTGTGCATTAGTGGGGGGTGGGGGCATGCAGGAAATCTCTGTACCTTCCTCTCAGTTTTGCTGGGACCCTAAAATAGGTCTTTAAAAAAACCCATATAGGTGCTACCTTTCAAACACTGTAGACCCATATTTGACCACATCACTCCATCTTCTCAGCCACCATGTCAGCAATAGCAACATTACTCATGTGGATGATTGCAGTAGGTTCCTGACTCATTTCCTTGGATTCTATCCTCGCCCCTCTATGCTCTGTTTTCAACAGAATGGCTGGCATAATTGGGTTAAAAGGTGGGTCAAACCGTGTCCCTCTTCTTTGGAACTCTCCAGTGGTTTCCTATCTCAAAGGAAAAGCAAAGGCTCGATGTTCCCCGTCCCTGTCCGTGTCTCTTGTCTATGCTTACACTACCCCTATATTCTACCTGGAATGCTCTTCCCCTGATGGCCACATGGTCTTGTCCCGTACAGTCCACTGGTCTTTGCTTCAATGTCACTTTCTCAGGCCTTCCATGATAACCCTACCTTTATAGTTAACATCCCTCCTGTATGTCCCTTCCCTCTTCATTTATTTGCTTTAACATTTATCACTAATGTGATTTATAGTGAGAAATGTGCATTTGGATTTCATCTCCATTCTTGGCACAGACCTCCTAAAACCCTTGCAATTTCCTAAGAGCAATAAAGATGTCTTGTTATTCCTAACAAAACCCTTTCAACCACACCTGAGTTTATATTAATGAGATGACCTCCGGGGGGTGGGGGAAGAAGGGCTGAAGGTTGGGTCATTCATGAATTGCCCATGATTTAATTAATTGTGGCTAAGTAATGAAGCCACCCTATAAACCCCAAAGGACGGGAGTCGAGAACTTCTGGGTAGGTAAACATATGGAGATGACATACACGCTCTGGGTCCTCTTCCCATGCCTGGCCCTATGCATCTCTCCCATCTGCTGTCCCTGAGTTACATTCTTACATAATAAACCAATGATCAGGTAAGTAAAATGTGCCTCTGAGTTCTTTTTTTTTTTTTTTTTTTTTTTATGACAGTCACAGAGAGAGAAGGAGAGAGAGGCAGAGACACAGGCAGAGGGAGAAGCAGGCTCCATGCACCGGGAGCCCGATGTGGGATTCGATCCCGGGTCTCCAGGATCGCGCCCTGGGCCAAAGGCAGGCGCCAAACCGCTGCGCCACCCAGGGATCCCATGTGCCTCTGAGTTCTGTGAACCACTGTAGTAAATTAATGACTGGAGGAGATATTTGTGAGAAACTTCCATCTGTAGATGGAGTATATATTTAGTTATTCATAAATTTAACACTGTCAACTATAGTTGATCCTCTGCTAAGACACAGATAAAAAGGAAATATGAGACCCCTGCCATCCTATAACTTTTTTGTCTGGGAGCTAATCTGTAAATAAGAAAACAAAAATGAACAAGGTAGCCTGAAAGACCTAGCAATACATGATGAGACCACAATGATGATGATTCCTAATAGTGAGCGCCTTCTTTGTGCACCATCAGTCCCCACTGTAATCTTATGAGGTGGCACCACCAAGAACCTCATTTCACAGATAAGGACACTGAGGCAGAGAATGGTGGAGAAACTTGTCCAAGGGAGTTCGGTGAGCAGGTGGTTGCAGGGTTTCAGCCCAGGCGTCTGGCTAGAGCTGCCTCCCTGAGGTGGGGATGCTGCCTGTTGGGAGCACAGAGCGACAACAGTGCAAAGCAGTGCTCAAGAGCACAGCCACAGGGCCAGGCCACAGGGCCAGTCCAACTCCAACCTTGGTCTGATTTCCCTTGTTGAGAGACTGTGTAGAAAAATGGACAATGGTCAGACCACGCACAAAGATAGAATTCTGAGGGAGGCCAGCCTGCTCCCTCTAGGAACAGTGCAGGAAGCCATACCATACCCCTGTAACCATTGGTCCAAAATGGCTAGGACTTGACTAATAACTGACAACTTCTCTAATTTTTTTGTTGCTGGCTCTAATATAAGACCAATTAGAAAGATCCAAATATGCTCTCCTAACCGATGGCATAGGACAGCGACTCCTGGTGAGCCTGCCTCTAGGTTCTCTGGGCCCACAGTCTCTGGTCAGGGCTCACATGCAGCTTTCCATGTTTTCCACTGTAGGCTTTCCCCCTCCTCTGCCTGCTTGAGTTTCTGCCAGAATTGC